CAAGTAAGAGAACCATTTAGCATTTAAAAGTATTGTAAATTCGTTTACACATTAGGTGCTCTAAGATAACTAATATTGAAACTGCACTAACTCCATACTTTTCATTCTTCCTCAGGTGAACATAGAGGATAATGACCTTATTATGTGACTAGTATGCAAAGAACAAAATGGCATTGATCAATTTGGGGTGGGGAGAGATTTTAATGATTGAGATTTTTAAAATTTTAGGAGTAGAGTTAATCGAGGTAAAAACTTAGTCCTGTATGAAGAAATGCTTATGTTATTGCCCTTCGTTCATTACTGCATTTTGGAACTCAGCAGCCTTCATAATGAGGTTGACTTTATAGCATTTATAAATAACAGAGTTGGGAGTATAAACAGTGGCAAAGTAAGGATTTTAAAAAGAATTTTATATTTCCTTCAAATACATGCAAGCAATCTCATTTTTCAAATACATATGCATAATAACTTGAAATGAGACAGCAAAGAAAAATCATTCTGGTCACTTACAGTTGACAGCATTAATAACCAGGAAAGTTTATAATTTTTTGCAGTTTAAAAAAATTACCTACTTATTGTCAGGATATAAGGTCTTTGCAGAAAGAACCTGATAACTGTTAAATACTGACCTTTTATTTTTTTTGCTATGTCTGACTGACTGTATGAGATACTTAAAAATGTGTTAATTTGTTTCTCTACCATTTCTTAAATTAAAGCACTAAGAGGTTTTCACTGAAGCATTTTTAATGTATCATCCAAGGTGTCAGGTTTAACTGTGCCCTGCAGACTTACAGAGTTGCAAGTTGTTCTCTAGTTTAAATTAACAATATCCTTGCCAAAAGTCTTATTAAAAATTACTTTATGCAACCAGTGAATAAAGCGTTTTATAGTTCATTAAAATTATGCTAAGAGATTATAACAAAATCTTTATAAAAAGGTATATTCCTTAAAAAATAAGCCATTCAATAACAGAAGATATACTAATGAGATGTCATCACATAGTCTATATTATATTATTCAAAGAATGAACTCTTCTTAAAACAATTCTAAACTTACTGTTGAGAAATGAATTGCAACATGTGTATATATTATCACAATGGTTATTTCTCATACAATTAAAGTGATTTATTGAAAGCACGTAAGTTTATTATTATCACATCCACTGATAAACCATTCTTCTACATAAGTACACACACACACACGACATTCACACACAATGTAATGTAAAATAATTTCTACTTACTGTTTGATAGAGACAATTATTTCATTATTCTTTCCATTTTTGGTTTGGTCCCACAAAATTTATTCACAAAATAAATATACATATTATTTTCTGAGCTCATGAAAATTTCTTGTTGAATAATTTAACCTTGGAATAAATTATCAATGATAAGCTTCTCTAAAGAATAAAATATTGCACTAATTCAAAGTATTGCCACTTCTCAGCCAAATGCATTCTGTCATGTAAGTAAAACTCTTTGACTAGCATAATTATTCAGTGACCCAAGTTTAGAGAGACTTTGATCCCTTTCTTCTTAAAATAGCATTTCTCTATAACTACTGAACGTGGGGAAAATTAAATATATATATGATAGAAAATGTGCTGATAGAAAAACAAAATGTTTTAAAGGATGTTACCATGCCCAGAAGAGGAGATGTTATGGAATTTATAATTATTTACTGGCTAACATACCATTCAAATACAGCACATATTTTACACATTCTTGCTTTTCGGAGGTAAGTTTAGGTATACTTTTTTCCTACTAATTATTAGAGAACATATGTCCTAGTACCACATTTACTCCAAATAATATATGTCAGTCCTGGACAGCAATTACAATTTCTTTGCTGTCAAGTTGACTATTCATCTTTTATCTTCAATAGTAAATACAATCTCATGTTATGTGATCACCATAGATAATAAGATTTCCATTGAAAGAATCCATTATTGGCAAGATGATGAAAATGACAAGCAGATATTTAAATAATGGGGAATTCCATGAGCTGATTCACTTGTACAGGGGAGATGTGCATATTGAAGACACAGTATAAATTTAGCTTTTCCCCCTCCATGGTTATATCACTTCTGAAAAAAATACAAGGAAATGGAAAAAATATCTCCATAGTGGAGAGAATATCTAACATTATCTGACTATATGTAAGTCTTTGTCATTTTGGAACATAAACTATATGTAAGTTTATAATTCTCAGATTTTATATTCACCATTGATCTCAAAGACAGACTGTAGCACAGCCCTGATATAAAAATGCAAAAGACCTCATTCTGAAAATTAAGATTCTAAAAAGAAATTACCTATCTGTATGAATTTGATTTTGAGCATAGTTATATAAAAAATAAAATACCTATATTTAAATGTAATGCAAATAAGTTATATCTTGTTTCCACTAATAAAAGAGGAAACATCCTTACATGAGAATCTTTAGAGGTTTAAATAATTAAAAAAGCGATGCACTTCCACAAAACATAATAGTAAACATAATAAACAGTATCATAATAAACAGTAATGTAAAACTACACAGTATAGTCACTTATCTCTTCATTTCTCAGGAAGCATAATTTACAGTAGTGCCCCCTTATCTGCAGTGGATAAATTCCAAGACCCCCAGGGGATGCTGGAAACCAGATAGTACCAGAACCTATAGACACTATTTTTTTCTCTTATACGTACAGGCCTATGATAAAGATTAATTTGTAAATCAGACAAGTAAGAGATTAACAACAATAACTAATAATAAAATAGAGTAATTGTAACAACATATTACAATAAAAGCTATGTAAATGGGTCTTTCTGTCTCACTCTGATAGCTGATCTGATAAGCGAGGTGGCTACTGAGTGAGTAACAGGCGCTGAGGTACCCAGCATGGATGCTGTGGACAGAGGGCGGTTCACCTCCCGGGCTGGATGGAGTGGGTCAGTTCAAGATTTCATCACATGAAGAATGGACCGCAATTTAAAATTTATCAATTGTATATTTCTGGAATTTTCAAGTTATTGTTTTTCAATCATGATCAACCACAGATCAGTGAAACCACGGAAGGCAAAACTATGCATGAGAAAGGACTACTGAACTTGAATGTCATCCTTTTTCCTTTATTCTCTGGTGAAAAGACTTGTGGGAGCAGTTTCAGTGTGTGAGAAGGATGGCAGACCAGTGGTAATAGAACTTTCCCTGGATTTTGAATTTAACACTCTGCTCCTGTGACACCAATATGGACAAATATGGCAAATATTTTAGGGGACAGGAACAATTTGTCCCCTAAATTATTAATTGTTCAGTATGTTCTCATAGGAAAAAAATGAATGAATTAATTTTTCTTTATTCAGCATTCTATACCCCGATCGAAGTTTATAGAAATGGAAATCCCTTAGGCTTAAAACCCAAAAGCCATATTATCACATACACTAAAAATAATCTGCTAAGTACCCCAATGAGTGCAGAGCCAGACACAAGGAATTCTGCATCTCTAACGGCAAGCTAGAAAAATGTACCAGTTTGAATGTACAAATGGATTATTAATAATAAATAAAAACTCAAAGAATTTCAGATATAAAAATAGTGGAGCTTGATATCTATTATTAACTTCTAATTATTTTTGTAGACCAAAGAAAAAGAAGTGTATTTATGGTTAGTTAATTTATCATTAAAATTAAATTTAAATATAAATTAAATGAATTAAAGAATTTTTATATTTATTCTTTTCATGCTATAATAAAATGGATTATGCCCACTAATGAATACTAAATACTATATAATATCCTGCCCTAGCATTACATTTTAATTACATCTTGAAGAGAGAATATTACCACATATTAATGGATTACAAATTTTTACACAGATATATCATAGTATCAATACTGAATGAGGAAAGCCAACTTGCATGAATTTTTAAAAATACATACTTTTAATATAACACTTAGTTTGAAGTACTATTGCAAAGAAAAAATGCAATACAAACTATGAACAGTGCAAACTTTTCTTTAAGACTTCTTGAAACTTTATTTTGGTCAGTAAAAGAAACCACAATGAACACTAAATCAGAAATATCCAGCAACTTTCCTTAAAGTGTTTCACATTTTTAACAGTTATTAAAGCAATTAAGACATTACCATAAGTGCAAAAATATTTTTATATAAGTGTTTTATTCATTCACAGAAATAAAAATGACAACATTAAAGAAAATTTAATAGCATGATTCAATCAGAATGGGGGAAAAAGACTGTCATGTCCCAGGGTCTAAAAAAATTAGTCACTATTAAAAAAGTATACTGACTCCTTAAATAAAAATTTGAGCAAACAATATTTTTACAAACAAAATCCCTTTGATTTATTTTAAGGAGTATTCACATAAAAATCAATTTTATCTTGATACTGTGTCAAAGAGTGGTACCACCACTGAACAAATTAGAAGCTTAGTTTACATCTTATATTTTTTACAAGTTATAAGAGCCAGAATTTAATAAGTTATAGGAACCATAAACTCTTCTCACGCACAAGACCTGAAGTGAGAAGAAGCAATGATGAAAAATTGTTCTCATTATATTCTCCAAAGATGTAGCCATACAGGGATATTTGAGTTTAGAGAACCTAAGGCTCAATTTTCAGTGAACAGAAACAGTAAGTTGCATGTATTTTCCATTTCTCTAAGGTTGTTCCTGCCCTCACCTCATCATTTCATTCACGATCTAGAGCAGAAATTTTCTAGACCCTGTGGTACAGGTAACGGAAACCAGATGCTGAGAATGATGCTGAGAAGTGACCAGAGATTAGCAAGAGGATGATTTGGGTGCAGCTGATTGGTGTGACTTCTATTTACTTAAAAAGCAACACATGGTTTGCTGAAAGTTTATGGGAAAAAAATAATTGAAGAGTGATGAAATCCCATGATATAAATTGAAGAGGTATGAGAGAGATTTGGGAAAGCAGCTGATTGATAGTTGTCAACAAGAAAAGCTGAAAGATCACATGCTAAGCATTACCTTACTTGATCTTTTCCAGCTCTTCCTCATTAGCATTGTCTGTAAATGAAATAAAGCATTTCATTAACTTATCACTCAAGGATAGAATAGGGAAGCCAACTGGTTTCTAGAGGAAGCTTAATATTTAAATAGCAAACATTTTCCAGCAACAACTATAAAAGAAAAAAATTGTTTTTCATGTATGCACAGCCAGAAGTACCTTTAACATTCAAGCAGTCTTTCTGGTGAAAGTTCATTTATTTTATTTTATTTTATTTTATTTTATTTTATTTTATTTTATTTGTACAGAAAATGAACAGTACATTTTAAATAGAATGGAAAATTTTAAATATCTTAATTATTGACACATACGAAAAACACATCGAGTCTCACAACTGGCGATTGTTCCTTTTGGTGGAGAAGGTTGAGGAGGTACCACGACTTTACTAGGTATGTACTGGTAATAATTTTTTTCTTCAAACACATTCAAAGCCTATTGCTTTTAAGGCATCTTAGAATTGCCTCTGCTTCCAGCTAATCTTTAATTACATCAGTATCTGTAAATACTTTCAATTGAGAAAAATGCTGCATATAGTGATGGCTATTCATAGATCTTCCTGCTAAATGTTTAGCCACAGCATATCCTTTAAACTAGTTGCATGTGTGTGTGTGTGTGTGTGTGTGCGCGCGCGCGCGCACGTGTGCACGCATGTGTAAGAAGTATTTATGGCTACAAGCTTTAACTAAGGTTATGGAGATTTGTGATGAATGCCCAAGATCAGTGGTCATTTGTGTAAAGTCTAAAAATCCAAAGAATTTTAAATTTCCTCTCCTGTTTTAAAAATTTCTTGATGAACACTGAGGTTTTAACTTTCTGATTAACCTCTTTACCCTCTCTTGGCTTTATCATTGACCTTAAGGCAGATGAATTGGAGAATAGGAAATATTTGGAGCAAAGAATGTAGCTTATGGAAATGCTTGCCATATTTATAGGTCAAGAAAGTGCGCTTGTACCTTTAAGAACTATATCTCCTTCAGCAAGATTCACTCTAAAGCAGGGCCATTTCAGAAGTCACTCATAAATTATAAAAATATAAGAAAGAAAAGATTTTAATAAAAGATTAGACTGAATCTTTTAAGTCTATAGACACTTTTAAGTGCTATAGACGGCAGCCTTTAGCCTAAACTAAGACAAGGAAATTATGTAGACATTCTAGGGTAGGAAATGAGAAAAGCATAAAATTATCAAAGATAAGATACTTTCCTCTTTTCCATTGATAGTGGTTTTATGGGTTATATCTTCCTTATAGATGCTTTGTGTTAAATACTGACAAAAATATGGAAGCGTATAGATTTCCTAAGATTATAATTCCCCATTTTTTTCCCAAATGGAGCTAGGAAACTGCAAAGCATTGTTATTAAATACCATTATAGGATGATTTTATATGTTTTCTAAGTACTAATGTCCCATTCATTTTGAAGCAACAAAACCCACCATCGGGGTGTGGAGACGCTCTTGTAGTGGGCGGGTGAGAAATGCTTGTTGCTGATGTAAAATAAGTTATTGCCATCATTACCCCCACCATCGTCACCACCGCTTTCTCCGCCGTCACTGAAAGGCAGCTAGGAACCAAACATATTCACAAAAACGGTCCCATTAGGAGTCAGATGACAACTTTCAGCTTTCTCAGAAAGCAGAGTTTCAAGGGACAAAGAGTGGTAATTCCTCGAGACAATATTTTGAGTCAAAAAAACAGAACCATTAAGATAAATCAAAAAGTAAAATCTCTTAACTCATGGCCATTTACCCTCTTCATCTAGTATCTAAAAATCTTATAAAATTTTATTCTGTAACAAATGTTATACTATAAAAAAAGAAGCTAAGGACATGAGGAAGAGTTGAATTTCAGGGTAACGCTACTCAATAATACACAGATTCACTACTGGGGGTCAAAGCCACATCCCCTGACTCAGAATTACTGCACGCAATTAGCTTTCAATATGTAAAACAAACTGTAGGGCTGGCATTTTCCTGTCTCTCAAAATCAGCTTTACAAACAGGCTGCATGGTATTATTTTTCAGATTGGGACACTGATACAAACAAAACATGAGTAGTACTTTGCCTCAGTATAAATATGAAAGATTTGACAGACATGGAAACCAATTCATTATTTTCTTGATTCAGTATCTTCAGTCCTTTTTTTAGACCCAGTGACTATCAGAATGGCCCTAGATCTTATTCAAAAATGTCTGCTTCTTGAGCCAAAACAACAAACTAAATAATGGCTTTGAGTGTCCTGCTCCCAGGTTTCTTTTTCTTGTCAGATGGTTGAGTTAAGGTATATTCAGTAAAACAGAAAACAGTAGAAAAGTTTTTTTTTTTAAGTGAATTGAACAGATAGACTATTAATACTGTTAATCTTTTCTGTCTGTGAGACATGTTAGAAAAGAAAGATTGTTTAGGGAATGTTAAAGGAGATGATGCAAATTATAGAAAAAGAAGATTAAATTATTTTGCTCTATGATCTTTAGCTGAGAAACATATGAATTTGTTCTTGAAAGTGTCCTCATCTAATATTATTATAGTAAAATTAAAATTCTTCATTAGCAGCTTATCTTTATTTGAGGCCAATAAAATATAAGTAGCATAAAAACATGGCCTGTGATAGAGCTGCAAAACTGAGTACTTTTTAAAAAGATTCCACAATCTCATTTCACTTTTTGCTTTTGTTTTTATTGTAGTGATTTTTTTAGGCAATTAAATGTTTCTATATATAGAAAAGAAAATCACAGAATGGGTAGATATTATAGTACATAATATGATACAATGTCACATTTTCATAGGTGGATATTTTTCCAAATGTTAACTATGAAATAAGTCAGAAAAATTTCAAAAATAAAGGAAAATATGTCTAGCAACATTAAAAGAAAGAAGAAACCGACAGGGACGGGAGGGAGGTAGCGAGGGAGGGAAGGTGATAGTGGGGAGGGGAAGGGGAAAGGTCAGATCAAGGAACAGGTGTGAAGGACACATGGACGAAGCCAAGGTGGGGAAGGACTGACGGGGGAGGTGGGGGTGGGTGGGGCAGGGGAGAGTGGTGGCAGGTAAATGGAGACAAACGTATTGGAACGATAAAAATAAATAAAAAATAAATAAATAAATAAACAAACGTGAAAAAATTTTAATTCACTAAAGGCCAACTAGGGTCAAATCATATGTTTCTTAGAATTTTCTCTTTTTTAGCTTTAGCCAAACAACTTGTAAGTCTAGATTATCTAAGATAGTGTGTAACACAAATTAACTCACTTTTATTTCACAAATTCTCCAATGAAGGAAGTTGTGGATTGAACTCTGCTAGAAAAAGAGCCAGAAAGAACTCAAACAGACTATCAGACCAAAATATCATACACAGGACGCACATGCATGCACTACATACTTCTGAGGGATCAAAAACAGGACAAGCATTCAAAACAGACGACAGTGGTGTCATGCAACTCATCAGCATGCCCCCCATGAAGGTCTGAATTTCTCATACACACAATGCTAGAAACTTTAAAAATGTAATATGTATGTATGTGTGGGTATATATGTATATATGTATACACCCACACACACACATATATATATGTATATATTCACATCTGGGATCTTTTTAAAAGGACTCCATTGTGAATTTAATGGATAAGATTTTAATATAAGCAACTATGAAATACTTAGGCTCTTAATTATACTATACTTCTTAAATTGCTGTGATTAGACACTGCATGTTTTAGAGGCCTTAGGAGATCCAACAGGCTGATAGGTTTTACAACCCATTCAGTTTTACTGATTTCCAGAACTGGCAATCCACACTAGGCGAAACCATCCCAGACGCATTATTCATAGTATGTATTGTCAGTATTAACAATGTATAAAAAACTCTCAGGGTAATTGATTTAGAAATCGGCACTTATCAATGCTAAGTACTCTGTTTCCAGTTAGTCTTTTCTTCTTACTTTCGATAGCATTTTCTTAACACTGATGTTCTATTTTCTATTTGATTGTTAGGACTTATTTGTGAATGGCTCTTGAAACTCATATTCCATTCTCCATTTTACTAAATATAAAATATTCAGCAAAATCTTACAAACACAGGCACAATAGTAAATGTGTGGTTTTTAAACTAAAGTCTTAGATCCCAAAAGCTAAAAAAGATGATTTCTGAGCTAATAATCAAAGATAACACAGCTTTTACAATTTTGCTGTGTGAGAGTCAATGAAAAAATCATCATTTATTTCTTTTCAATATATCATTCTAAATACTAAATGGAATTGTGATCAATCAGTAACTGATTTCTGGTTTACTGCATTTTGAGTTGGGGTTTCTCTAAGATTTGTTCCTGGATAATTTGTGAAAGTTCAATATGTCATTTTTACTGCAGCAAAGTTATGTATTTCAGGCATATAAAAATTTAATTTGAAGATACATTGGATCTCTGTTTGTTTTTAACCAAGAAACTTCAAATGTAATCCCAAGATATATATTTAGAGAACACAAGACATGTTACAAAATGACGAAAATATAGTGACCTGATTCTAAATCATTTTCATCATTAGAAATATTGAGACACATAATACAGACTGATTTTAAGCCCATTATCATTAACCTACTTATTTTAAGCATGCAAAAGGAGAATTAAATGTATTTAATATTGTTTGTGGCAACCTCAGGGATTTGAATATTGAAGGAAAAAAGACTTAAAATATTTTCCCCTGCACACATGAAGGACCCCTTCAAATCCTCACAGATACTCATCTACAACGTGTTGAACAACTATTAGGTACAGAAAGCTGGGCTAGGTTTTGAGAGAAGTCATCATAAGAAAGGTATCAGAAGCAGTAAGTTACATGTAAAATTTTCTTTACCAGGGGTGATAGCATATGGGATGGGGATGAGGTAAAGTACAGTGCAGGGTGTTTTTAGCTAATATAAGTGACATTGAAGAAAGTGTGGACTTAAGAGGAGGTGAGCTTTACAGGTTTGCATGTCTGGGACAAAGGTTACGAGTGAGTGAACATAGGTTGATCATTGAGAACCTTAAAGTCCGTCATCAGGAGTTTCTCTTTAATCAGAGAAAGAGCCACAGGTCACTGAACACTTAGAATAAAACTAGAGAGGAAGGTATAGAATCTAGCACATGTTTAGCAGATAATCAGTAAGTGGTTTTTTTCTTTCCTAAATAGTTGCCTGCAAATGGCCCTTCTTCCTAGTTTTAAAATCTTATAATTAGCGTTGCTTACCAGTTTTAGAGGTATTAATGAAATAGCTAAAAACTGCTACATGGACCAAAGCAAGGTAGGGGGGCAGGGCAAATCTATATGTATTTGTTAGAAATTTTCATAATGTAAAGGATATCTTTAGAAACCCAGATCCAAATCTGGGATGTCAGACTATCCAGGATATTGGGGAACTCAACAGAATTTCCTACGAGGAATATTTTATCCCGCCTTCCCACCTCCTGACTCATCTCACTTCTCTAAAACCAACCCAAATTCCTACCCATTAATCACATGATCACACCACAGGGAGGAGCCCATATAGCCACACTGGTCACCCTTCTCTCTGCTCCTCAGGCGTGGCCGAGGTCAGGATGGTTCACCAGCCAGAGACCAGCCTGGTACAGGCTGCAACTGTTGTGCCTGAGGCCCTGAGTCCTGGCTAAGCCACGTGCTTCTCTGACAAAGAAGAGAGAAGACGGGAGAATCCACATTAGAAAGGGAGGCAAGAAGACAGTTTTTCAGTTGCCACAGGAAAAAATCCAGTGCTCTTTAGGACTTTGGAGGGGAAGGAGATGAAGTAAGGCAGTGAATGAAAGAGGCTTGTCAGTAAAAGACTTCTTCCAAAAAGCTGGGGTATCCAAAGGGATTCAAGTAAAGAAAATGGCAAGAGGGTTTCAGAAAGAACTGTTTGTGTTAGGAGTGAATATAGCTGGAGCAATAGAATGGGGAGAAAGGAAAAGGAAGAAAAGATGAATAATACCAGATTTTTATTATGTAACTGTTTCATATAACCTGCCTGTTTCTTTTCTATTCGTGTTTGATAAATCAGTGATGATCAAAAACCAGGCACTGAAATATTTCTATCTAATATTATTTCTAATTAGAAAGACATTGTGCCTAAATAATAAGTTTGAGCAGCTATGAAGATTGAAGGATTTTTGCAAGAATTGTTGAAAATAGTGAGGAACCACTCTGCCTGTGCTGACATATATTTCTGTGAAATTCAGAATAAGGAGCGCCTCCATCATAAGGTCACCTGATACTTATTTGATCCTTCAAACTCTCAGTTTGATGTTAGAGAACATAATAAACATCTCTTTAATGTAAAAATTTAGTAGACCATCCATCCATCATCAAATCGCCCAAATAACTACATGGTTGATGATATACAAGACCTCAGGCATGTAAGTATTTTCACTTACGACATGCTGTCTTTCATTAAAAATAACAAAGAATACCAAAGCAAAAAAAAAAAAAATCTATCCCCAAGTTTTGTTCATTTTACCTCCTGTAGGTAAACCAGGTGATTTCCCTCCACTTCTATCTCTGACAGTCCTAATCCAAGCTTCCATCACCTCGACTTCTGCAATAGTTTCCTAACTGGTTTCCAAGAACCCATTCTTATCTTCCATCTGTCTTCTACCCTGCAGCTACAGAACTATTTTCAAAAAGCTAATGTGCTTATGTTACTTCCCAGTTAGAGACTTCCATGGCTCCCCATTGCTCTCGAGGAAAGACCACAAACTTCAGCCGGGCCAATGGACCCTGCACCACCTGAGCATCTGTTTCCACTCCAGTTGCAACAGTGCACCGTGGTCTTCCACACTCTCTTTGCTTTCACCTTCTCTAAGCTCTAATACTTTTTAAATTCTCCGAGAGCAGCACGGTTTCTCTAGCCAGAGGGCCTCTGCACATGCTGTTTATTCTGCTTAAAATACTTTCTCTTTTCCTGGCAAAAGCCTTATTAATTCTCATTTATACTTCAGACCTCAATTCCCATTTGGCTTCCTTGGAGAATCACCGTCCTCCTGACTAGAACAAATTCTCCTACATTTGCTGTTATAGCAACATGCACATCTCCTCCCTGGCACTTAAAACAGCTGTCATTACATCACTACACATCTTCTTCAGTGATTATTTGATTCCCGAGTTCTCCACTGGATATAAGTTTCTTACATCCTTAGGGTCTAGCCCGGGACCTGGCTGTGGTGGGCTCCACCGAGGACCGGGTCCGCACCCACCCTCCTGTCTGAACACACGGGCCTGTGCGCAGGCCCACGTGCATGCGTTCCTCCGCCGTGCTCAGTTCTCGCCGCAGGTACTATATGGTAACACTTGCTGGAAAAGAGGAATTTCTTCCTCACTGAATAAAGTTATAGACACTTAAATCATACTTAAATCGTGTATGTGTGCTCATTGTTTAATTTTTAAAGAGAGAAAAATACTTATTGAAAAGGGTGAATTTTTCAGTAAGTTTAAAACACTTCCTTATTTGAAGATGGAACTATGTTTATCTACAATTTAGAGAAAAGTATCAATAATACCTTTCCAGTAGATAGTATACACCAACTTCAATCTTACATTATTTTAAGATAGCAATGCACACATTGCTAAATTGGGTACTTGAACTTGCTTAAAAAATTACGTCTAGTCCTAAAATGTGTTAAAATCAGAACCAGTGAGAGTAACTCTCGGTACATGAAAGCATGTTGAGTCTAATAAATACTCTCTGGTAAACTGTGGCAGAAAGTGCACGGTTCAGCATACAGATATGGGTCAAACCTACTGTTGTTTTATGTCCCTTCAGCAACGCTGTTGTAGCTGGCTCCTCGGAGTATCCTTGTGAGTTTCTCACCGCAGCATGGTGTGCAAAGAAGCACAGCCAGCCAGTGCTGGAAAATGGGTAACACCGGCATGGCAGCCCACCAGACAATGAAAGGTACTCGCTTGTTCAGCAAACCAAAACCAGAAAGCACAAACTGTTATAATTTCACTTCATTTTCTTTGTTATGGTACACCTGACACTATAGTCAAAATACTAAGGTCTGGATATCTCAGTGTAAAATTCCAAATCTTCAATTCCTTAATAAATACAGTCCCCGAATGAACACTACCCTTTGTCTCCCATATAACATGTCTGAAATTGCGAAATAAAATTACAATAAAAGATGCAAATGTGTTTCTTATTTTACAACAAGAGGTTCTCATCTGGAGCACAGCACAGGAAATTTGAGTTCGAAAGATAGAATACACAGGGACTAGAGATACCCAGGACACTCACAGAAACAAAGGCCAGATTTTCATAGGCTGCTTCTTTTTATTATTACCTCTGGGTTCAGAGAAGGCTCACAACAGTCAAACAATGTTTGAATGAACATTTGAGAGCAAGTTTGAGGACAATAAAGCAGCTCTGCAAGGCCCTGGAGGGACTTACCATATCCCTGTGCTCTCCTTCCTTAGGGGTCAGGATGACTGAGAGCAAAATGGTCCCAAGGTCATGGTCAGGATAGTGGGGATCTTTCAGTGTTAGGGTCACATCTGTGGGCCTGTGGTAAAAAATATTAAGATTTGGAACAGTTATTCAATGAATAAGCCCAAAATACTTTTTATATCCACACTTTTGTCTTCCTTTACACTCCTGTTACAATTTTTCTTGTTATTAAAATTTCATCAACGAATTAAGTTATCCAATAAGTTTTGAGCCAGATGGGTACACTTGGACTCACTGGATAAGTTTCAGTCTTGCATGGGGTTCTACAAAGGCCAAAAGGTTGCCCATAAAGCCAAGAAAACCCCAGCATAGAGAAACCTTTATGTTCCTGCTCTATGATCTCTAAGCACACAGGATACAATGGAAGCTCTTTTCTATAAATTTGACTCCAACAACTAAATAGGGTCACTTATTGACCACTAGCTTTCTTTTCATTTTTTAAGATTTTTTTTAAAAAATCAGGAGTGTGATATAGAATAAACAAATGAGTGGGAGAAGAAAAAGTATAAAATATAATTTGCATGATATACATTGCAGATATACTTTAAAAACAACATATAATTACTTAAAAGAATTCCAATATTTAAAACAGCGTGCCTATTTTTGGGTTGTTTAAACTCTTGCCTGAACAACTTTTAGATTCAGAAACACAAGGAAAGCAATAATTTGATCAATACTTAGAAGATTTTGGAATTAAGTATCTCTGAGAGATTACAAATTACTCATTACCCAAACTACTTTTAGAAAAGAAGCAAAGTATACATTCAATAGATAATACATAGTGATAGTTTGTTTCCATATTTTAATTCATATTTAACAAATAGGGGTTCATGCCTTCCATAAACCTATGGGGCAGTGAAAAGTTTGGCACTAAACTTGAATCTTGAAATGGTGGCAAATTAGTAATGTTCCTTTGCTTCTTTAGTCACTTGTTCATTAATTTCATTCACAAAATATGTATTAATCACATATTAAATGCCGCACACTGTGCTAGATTCTGGGTCAAAACCAGAGGTCAAGACCAAACATAAGATCCTTGTCTTCATTGAACTTAACTTTTAGGAAATGATACAGTTGGAGTCTAACACTGTGAGGAAGGTTTGGTAGGGAAAGCTGGTCCAAATAAGGGTTTTTGATCCTGGCTGCACATCACAATCAACTGGGGAGTTTTTACAAAGTGCATAATCCCGAATCCCACCCATGATGACTCTGGCTCTGTAGATCAATAGGAGGCGGAGGGGGGGCGGTCTAGAAATCTATATATTTACAAAGCTTACCAAACGATGTCCTCATATGATCAGGGTTAAGAACCTTAGGTATTTTTTAATACTAAGTTATTATAATACTAGAAAACTCTTTCTCATAATGCTTAATTCTCCAAGTCAAGGAATGATGTTATTAAAAATATTAAGTTTTCTAATATCAGGGGCTTTGGCTGAAACATAAGTAACCTGTTAGATAATATATGTTATAATAGTTGTGGAACAAATGGTTTCAATATTATTTTAGTATAACTAATCATTATGGTTGGATGAAAATAACTTGTTCTTTTTATTTTAAGAATATATATTATTAAGCATTATATTGTGTGTGTTTGTGTGTGTGTGGATTACAACTTGTTTTCCTGTAGTGATTATATATAAAAATTAATAGAAAAAACTTCATTATATTTTTATAATGACTACATGATAAAGATTTATGGACTTTTGCAATTGCTTTAGGACATTTTTTGCAAGAGGTACCTTAATGCATTACATAGTAGCATAACTATTTATATGACTACTATTATTATCCATCTTCCTACACCCAGAGACTACTGAATTTATACATGGAATCTAATGGCATAATTACAAATAGGTAATTTTTAAAAGTAGTATGTGATTTTAAAAAGTGGTTTTGGGGAAAGGGATGGATTAATTAATATGTAAAGTAAGTAATGTGGCAATATGAACACCAAGTGCTGGATATGTTTATTTTCTTAATCATTCCATATTTTTCCATTTAGTTATTTTTTATAATAATTTATCTTTAATAGAGAAGAAGAAAACTTTATGCTCCCTGATTAAGCCCAGTAGTTTGTATATCCTTTTGCATAAGTTTATGGGAAATATATTATGGACTTTATAGAAGAACAGCACAGCCCATTTTAGTTGGAGCTTAGTTTTACAATAATGGACTAAATACAACACCACCTAGGGTGCTTCCTTCCACTGTAGTGAGGTGGGGAACCAGCATTCACCTGGACTCTATCCTTAGGTCAAGCCTGAACTACGGTTCCAATGAAGGACATAAGGGGAGTACAGAAAAGGCCCCTTTTTTGGGTCCATTTTGAGGTAAAAATGACCTTTTGGAAGACCAATGAGGGGACACCATGCTCAAACTTAGTTGACTATAACACATAAGGGGCTCTACAATTTATATTTCTCTTCTCATCTACATTTATAAAACTACAGAGCAGTAATCCAGCCCATCATACTGCTTTCCACTATTTCTGCCACAAGATGCAGCATGATCATCTAAAACAAACAGAATTCTTTTTCCTTAAAACCACCAAAGAAGATTTTACAACTTCCTTTGCAACCCATTCCAGCAGCACTTGACCCTTTTAAGCCTATTTTTCCTTCTGTAGTATTAATCAAGCCTTAGCTCCTATGTGGAAATGCATTTGAAAAAATATAAGCCCATAATTAGGTACAAGGAATAATTAATATTAATAGTAATAATATAACTTTACAACTAGTCAAACTATAGAAAGCTAATGTAACTGAGCAAATACAACCAGTCTGCCTCTACTCTCTGGGCATTCCTTGGTAACCTAGGATTACTGATGATGGCAAAGTTAGACTCTACTATGGCTGAGGTGATAAGAGAGTTGCTGTCTTTGAAGCAAAGTGCACGTGTTTAATTTCCTGTATGGTGGCCTGAATCTTAAGTTAATAAATATGATGAACAGGTATAATCCTCTTGATGCCCCACTACAACCACACAAGCCAGGTGAGAACAAGGAATATGGCTTTTATCTTTAGATCCCTGGTACTTAGCACTGCACTGGGGGCAAAGCAGGCACCCAAGAATTTTTCTGTTGAATAGTTGTTGTTGAATGAGATAGTCAGGGAAGATGCTATTATTTCCATTGGGCAGGTGAGAAAAATGTACTTAAGAAGGTCTGCCTAGCACAAAGGCTTGCAACGGCACATGACAGAACAGCTTTTAGACTCCAGATCTGCTGACATTGCCTAGTATACTGACCCATCTTCCTAGCAAGGTGTAGTGATTTTATAACAGTCCAGAAATCACCTGTTTAACTCCAGCTGTGTGAGGTCCAGAAAGGCTGAGCCCATAAAGTCATCCTGCAGTCCAAAGTCATAGTCAAATACCTAAGGGGCCAAAAAGACATTGTTATAAACAATTCGAAAATAAGATTTAAATAAAAATATCTTGATTATAAAATATTGATTCTTGTCTATGTCACCAAAACAATGAAGGTTCCTAACATACACTTTTAAAAAATATTTGTTTTTGTGATGTGTGATACTAAGGTGTCAGAAAACATTAAAAGAAAATGGTGTTTAATGTCCTACTTAAAATTATTGATTTATATCAAATAGAACTTTAAGAAAGATAATAAAATCAAATAAAATATAGTAGATCATTCAAAATGTGGGAAACACCGACTCTGAGTAGTGTCCCCATATTATAAAAGGGTATAAGCATTTCTGGAAGGCAAATGAGTTGGTATGAAATTTAACAAATATTTTCTTTCATCCTGAGCTAAAGATGGTGAGAATATCATTCCAAGTTCTTCATACTTCTCAGGTCATAGAAGACAAATTCTATGATACTATAAGACAATGCCATTTAAACATACAAATAAGTGAAAACTGAGATACTATGATTAAAGCATTTTGTAATGTTATATTAAGGTTAAATTAAAGTAAGTGTTTATTGTCACAAGCAATGACTAGGGGATAATGTGAATGTGATTAACAACAAAAAAAGGACAAGAAAAGGAAAGGAGAACACATTTCTTCCCTCTGTCAAAACAATTTATCCCGTATCTTCTCTATGCCTTTCATGGTTCTTATTCATACTACAGTGAATAAGACAGACAATGTCCCAGACTTCCTTCCATTTAGGGGCTGAGACAGTCAATAAATACCCAAATGGACATGTACAGTTTAGTGATGGATGCTATGAAGACAAATACCTGCGGGGGCATGGCGGGAGCTGCTATTTTAGACAGGGAGTTCAGGAAGGACTCTGGGAGGAAGCATCTTCACATAGAGACCCCAGTGATGAGAAAGATTAAGCCACGTTAGCGTGGAAAGAGCGCTCTAGGTGGAGGAAACAGCAAGCACTCAGCATGTTTCCGGATAATTATTAAGAAGCCAGTGTAGTTAAAGCACATTGAGAAAGACGGAGAGTGGAAGGAGATTGGAGAAGGAGTGCACAGCTAGATCAGTTAAGGCCGTTTCTAAAAAAAAAAATCTCTAAGTAAATGGGAATTAGCTAACTTTCATCCATTTATTAATTTTTTCCTTCAGCCAAGATTGACCAAGTACTAATCACGTGTCCGCCAATGTGCTAGGCACTGAGTAAACAGTGGTGAGCAAAAGTCACATTGTCAATGTTTACAGTATAGTGAGGGAGACACACGTTAAATGAGGAAGTACACAGGTGATGTGTAAGTACACATTTTGATAAGTATTGTAAAGAAAATAACAGGGTCTGAAAGGAATCACATAACAGTGGATGTCAGGGAAATTTTCAAGATGGAAAAAAATGCTCCTAGATGAAGTTCAGAACTGTGTTTCCCGACCCTTTCAAATAGAAAATCATATACTCATTTACTGGAATATATGAGCATAAATTGATAAGTTCTCTCTTGAAAGGACAAGCCAAGCCATTAGCCTCTCCAGGATGTGAGAATCCATTAGCCTGAGAGAACCCGTAGCCCAGCGCTCCTGTGCCCAGTTCCGGGCACACTGTGAGAAAGCTAGAAGCAGTTGGAACCATGTATACACGGCAGCCCTCAATCAGCTACTGTTTTTTCTCTGGCGCAGGTATACCTCAATTTAAACAAACGTAACATGTAATAAAATCAATATTAAAACAAAAAGATAAATACTTTTCATTACAAAAGGATTCTTAAATTTGAAGAGTCATAAGGGGATTTATTTAAGTAATAAGTTTCTCTAATGCCTCTTAAATTATTCAATCTACAGTCATTTGATTTACATACAGCCTTTCAGGAGTACATTTGTTGTAGAAAGCACAGCACTCCCACGATCAATAGTCTCGTTGATCAATTATATTTCGGAGCTTTAGTCATCCACTCAGTGGCATATCACGTGAGCATTTTGCACATCTTTATAACTGACACCTTGGTATTTGCAAGTGGCTGCAGTAGTGTATTTTATAACATAAAATTTATGCCACAGATTAGAGAAATTTCTCTTGTGCAATCTCTTCTAATTGTACTACTTTAAGGCTTAAAGTGTTGGGGAGGCTATAGTGACATATAAACAATGAGAACACCTGGGGTACATCCATGCATGCAAAGTGAAGAGCTATAAACCAGGTGCATTTATTAGTGTAGAAACCCAGCTGGGTGATTCAACATTTAAACTCACTTTACTCTCATGGTGAGAGTCTTCCCTACTGTCCTAACGCTAGATATTTATTTTAGTTCTCAATTCCTATTAATCAGCGAAGGCATAAATGCAGGACAGAATGGAAACATAAAAATCCATTTGTTAATGAAATTATTAGCTATGGTACTTGGTTTCAAGTTCTAGAAACTCTCAGTCAGAGGGAGCATTGCTCTCAGGGGAGCTTCAGAAATACACAGCGGAGAAAAGAGAGGACAAGGGAAAGGCACCCCCGTTATGATAACAACAAGGACCGTTAACTCTGATTAATGTTTTTTTTTTTTATATTTACTGTATGTTAGGCACTGTGTTAAACACATTACATAGATTTTTAAATTTAATCCTTACACAGCTCAGTGAACAAGGTATTGTTTCCATATTTCAGATAAGGAATCCAAATTTTAAAAAGTTTGTTACTTTCCCCTAAATCCCAAGATTGAAAGAGGTCAGATTTAAATCTCGCTGTACTGGATTTCAGACATTTAACCACTACATCTTGGATACCCACTGTGGATGAAGCACTTGGAATTCAAATGTAAACAATTAAATGTTTACATCCTTGTTTTCATGAGCCTCCACTCCATTTGTGTTGGAAATACTAGGTAACATCAGGTAGAAGTTGTTTGGGGCTCGGTAACAACTCTCTCCATTCTCAAAAGAATTTAGAACAACAAATGTTTTACTTCAATCAATGCATTTATTCTAATCAATGTATTTCAGAGTAGATCAGTTAAAACGCTTTTGGATGCAAGTAACAGGAAATAACAGTGGCTTCAGGACAAATGGGGCTTTTTTAGCTCGAATGACTGACATATCTCTAGGTAACTGTGACTTCAGAGGAGATGTAATTTGGCAGTTTGAATGAGTAATACTTTTATTCATTCATTTATTGCAAAAATATTTGGTGAGCACCTACAAATTCCTAAGTAGTGTTCTAGGTACTGGAAATACAGCAAAAGACTAAACAAAGTCTTTATTTCTTGGGGGTTTCATATAAGGGAAAGTTGCAGACAATAAACAAATGCATGTTAGGTAGTCATAAGTGCAATGGAGAAAAGTATCTCAGGGTACGAGATAATGGGAACTACTACTGATACAACGGAAGGTGGCATTTGAATGAAATGAGGATGCCTAATGGGAATAGGAAGTGGAAAGGGACCCAGATCAAACTATATGATCCAAACATAAGATTCTACTCAGAAAATACATCCATGACTCATTTTCATACCCAGGCAGCTTCAAAATAACCATTTCATTATAAAAGAATCATGACACTCTAAATCATAGAATTGGCATTGGAAAACAAAGAAACAAAACAAGACCTAACTGTGACCATTGCAATTAATCATCTTTAGTGGAAAATAAAAGCTCTTTTGCTGAATTGCTGAGTGGACATAGCAATCTTAAACTCTCTGAGTCTCATTTGTCTATAAAAAGGAGATGAGATAGGTACAGACAACAGTGTGGTGGTTATCGGAGACAAAGGGTAGGGGGCGGGGGATAAGTGAGGGAAAAAGGGGTCAAATATGTGGTGACGGGGAGACTCTGGGTGGTGAACACACACATGCAATACACCGATGACATCACAGAACTGCACATTTGTAACCCATATAATTTTATTAACCAATATCACCCAAATAAATTTAATAAAATTAAAAAAAAATAATGACAAAGGAGATGATGGCAGTTACTTGTAGGGTTATTGTCAGGATGATGTGAGATGACGTAGCTGGGACACGCAGCACAATGCTCAGTCCACGGTCGCCATTATTATGACGATGAGACTGCAGATTCCATCCCAAGACTCAGTAACCTCACAAGTGCTTTTCCGATAAAGCAAAACAAGTACAGTCATGCTTTTTTTTTGTTCTTTCTTTGTTTTGTTTTCCTATTGATTTTTTAAAAATTTAAAATAGTGGAATTTCTTGATTCATGCATTTAGGAACGGTTTTTGAACCACGTAGGAAAACATATCTAAGATAACACAGAAATTTGGAATAATTTCATTCGGTTGTTCTGTGGTTTATGACTATAAACCTATTTCCATTCCAACTATTCAGTTTCCATTTAAGTGTCTAGAAATGTGACTCTCTACCCAAGCAGTGCATCAGAATAAACTATTGTGTTTTGAAAACACAGAAGCATGGACCCTATCTCCCAGATCCTGAATCAGAATCTTTGGAAGAGAGACTTGGACATCTAGATTCTTTAAAGGTCTCTGGATAATTCTAATGTACAGCTAGGGTTGAGGGTCATTGGTATATAACATCCTCTTAGGGCCCTTAAAACCTATGGAGGAATAATTTTAGGTAAGACAGTAACGTGGTCTTTTTTAACTTGAACCAAGCATAAAGTACCTTTTTAATTTTAAATTTTAAACTTGAATAGATATGCATTATTTAAGAAACTATCCATATTATTAAAATGACAATCTTAGAAACAGTAATATGGCCCCTAACTGAATTGTTTTGCTAATTCTCAAATCTTTCTATCAGGCTCATGATTAGGCCAAACAAGCAACAATTTATATGGACATTTTCCGCTTTATATTATTTCTGTCTCTTCCACTGTAACTCTGGTTTTCACTGTGTACCTTAGATAATAGTGCCAGTGAGAATGATAATGGAGATTTTAATTCAATTCAGCAGAAATGGATGCTGAATGTGCTCTGTTGTTTAAGACGTGTGCCAGAGCGTCCCTGAGGACACAGAGCAGGCTCCAGGGGCTCATGGCTCAGTGAGAGGACTGCGTTCGAACTCCCTCCTTCTACTCCCTCCTTCTTATACGTACTTTGAGTCTGTTCCTCCAGATTTGTTTCACCTCCTGCCCTTACTGTGAAGGCATTCAGAATTGAAGGAATATTCCTTTTCATTAAAACCAAAAGCTACACAGATTCCAACCAATTGCAAAGTAGATTCTTACTCATTTTGTGCAGTCTTTAAAAATGGCAGTGCCAGGATATTTTGTTTGAAAAGTATCTGTTTTTACTAGAAATGGTACAAGTACTGAACTTTATTGTGATTTTATAACCTTGGCTCAGAACTGGGTTTTGTTTCCCTTGGTAACCTTTACGTTGATAGAAACCAGACATCAGGGTCTACATACATGGACTTCTTTTTCCTTTAACTAGAGATGGGAGAGTAGTACTTAATATTTTCTAATTATCTAGTTCATGGATACATTTTCATATTATCCAACACTACAGAACTGGTTGGTCCCCAAGAAATCTCTGAGGCAAGATTAATCTCCCCTCATGGAGAATGTGGTCATCATGTTAAAATCAAATCAGTCAATCACACAGGTCTGTGCAGAGCCAATGAAAATGATGCAATTTTCCTGAAATTCTAGTAACTTAAAATACCATATCTACCAATGCATTTTATTTAGGTTTTTGTGTATGCGAGGCTAGGTAAAAAGTGGATAGCACAAAAAAAAAATGGAAAAAGCTAGAGATTTTTTTTTCAAAAGAAGCCCTATGCAATTAACATACCATGAAAATCAAATGAAAGATATCAAAACATATTAAAAAGCATAAAGTAACACATAAAATAAAATGTCATTTTGTGCTTGTTCTAGTATTTCAGAAGCTAGTGCGGTTTCGTTTGAACTTAAAATCTTTTATAATTCACTACGTATCTTCCGGATGGCAGAAGTGAAGTTGTGCTACTCGCTGTGGTGCCCTGCATCTCAGAGTGGCAGCCAAAGAAACCGAAACAACCCTTGGCTTCTCCCTGCCACTCCTTTGCTCACAGTGTGTCACTCACCCGCATGCAGTGTCACCGTCTCCACGTGTAGTACAAGTATGTCTGTGTATATACCCTGACTCTCTCAAACCAAAACAAAAATTTTTCCATTATTTTACTTGTTTTTGAGCCAATTAAGATATTCCTTTTGAATTGTGCATTTTGACAATTGGATTTTTATATGGCTTAATACTTATTCTTGAACGCAAGAGAAAAGCTAAAGAACCCAACCAACTTCTTATGTAGTTTTGGGACGTTCATTTGTAACCCTTGTAAACACTGGTGCTCCGTATCGTCTGTTACAGAGTAACATCCCATTAAAGAAACAGAGCCACAACAAACGAATATAAAAGTAACTCCTTTTCCTTCCCTGATTTTTCTCTTAGGGACACTAAATGACACACAAATGTCCCAGTGCTGTCCTTATTCACACCTGTTTTCCTTTCCCATCCATTTTCTTTATGATGGCAGCTACTCTAACTCATCTCTTTTAACCCCCTAGAAAGGAAATTTTCTTTACATCACTTGTCTTTTTTTAATTCTCTTTTCATCCCCTATTCAGTTCTTTATTAGGAAGGTATTTCCTTTTTCCTCATGTAGATATTTCTTCCTTTCCAGCAGTGAGGAGCAGGGAGAAACGTCTCTGACCCTGCAGGTCTTCTCTTCGGTGAACAGCAGGTTTGTGGTGAATGCTAACACATCGATAATTTTTATGCAATTGCACATTATGTTCACTATTCTATTGAACTGATTTCCTTTAAGGAAAGTACACTTGAGACTATACCTTATGTGAAGACAGGTCTACTCTCCCCATAATGAATCCTAGACACTTATCAACTATAGACTTAGGAAATTCTCTTTTCATCTATCTTATAAACTGTCATGCTATGATTTTTAAAAAAATCTTGACTTTTTTCCCCTTTCTGTGGAGAAGAGAAACAACTGGACACAATACACTTGAAAAGTTGAGGAGATGAAGGGTGCCCAGAGACTTGAAAAAATGATCTGAGCTTTTTGGCTTATGTACCAGTTGTGACAATTTAGAGAAAAAGATGGGGCGTGTGATACAGTAAAAGGAGAAAAAGGTTTAGCCACCGAATGGGTCCTCAGAATACAGGAGCCAAAATGAACATATGACCTAGAGATATGAATTTAAGGGAAGTCGGGTATGAAAATAAAGCAAGGAATTAGGGTATAACCCTTTCCTTAAATTCTTCTTTAAAAAACAACATCGAACTAAAGAAAATACTTTTTTCATCTTTGATAATATAGCAGAAATAGGAATATTTCTCCCCCTATTATCTTTACCCTTTTCATTTTCCAAGTAAAGCATTTTGTTTGCAATTGGGACTGGCAGGTCCCCTGATACAATTACTAATCAGAAAGGCTGGGTTCGGTGTGCGCTTTCCTTGTTGCTAGCTGCTAAGGAGACTTGTTTCTATACGTTCCCAAAGTGCACGAATCAGTTGATCACCCAAAGCAGAAGGAGCTGGACTTCATAATCCTCCTGAATAATTGGCACCAGAACTGTCCTGAAGAAACCTGTCCCCTCTTCCCCACCCCTCTATCTTGTTTTTATCTAATCATCCACAGATTACAATTGTGCACGACAGAATATGTCTCTGGTGAAAAATCTTGTCAGAGAGACATGACACAAAATGATCAAACAGGGATTTTGATGTCAAGTGGCATTAGGGAAAACCAATAAATGGCTTACCTTCACATATAATGGCTCTCTAAGATGGTCAATGAGAATGCAAGCTTTCTCCTCCCACACAGGGTTGAGGTTCTTGTGTATTATTCTACTTCTAAAAACTTCTTTTCCTCCAATTTTAAACTTCACGTAAGGATCACTTGTCCCTGTTAAAGAAATGCAGATTGATCCGTGTTAATTATGCCTTTCTATGGAGGGAAGAGAATAGCTCATCTAAACACCAGAAAGTATGCGAGGAATAAAAGTTCAACAAGGTTTATCACATGGAAATAGGGTTGAGAGTTTTTCCTGAAATATTGAAGTGACAATAAATTATGTTAGTATAATAACAATTATCATTATTATTAACCTTCTATACTTAATAATGGTACCCTGTCCTGGTATTTTAAAACCTCTATTGCATACTGCATATGTAAATTTAATTCATTTTATAAATGATAGGGATTAGGTTTGACATTTCTCTTGGTATCATCTGGTTAACTATAAAAAGGATCATCCATGATCTTGGCTGATTTAACTAGTTTTAGACTTAGATAAGCTGCTAATATTTTATAGTAATCTAATGGGTTTAGTTAGGCAAAGATGAGCCTGAAACTGGGCTTCAATTTCATCCTTGGTCCCATATTCTCTCTTGCTCAGAAGTTTCAATTTTAGAATGTTAGGAAGAAATGAAGGTCTCAGAGGAAGGAATCAGGGTGAAGGGGACAAATGTTTATGAAATAATCTGAATATCTCATATTACCCCTTAATGCCTCCCAAGCTCCCAAAGATGAAAAAAGAAAAAAAATCAGAGCTGTCAAGTAAGTTGCTTAAGGACAACAATTAGCAAGAGATAGAGTTAGAATTCCATCCAAGGATGTTTGGCTCTGAATCCTATGCTTTTTCTACTATACCTGCAAGGAGGAGGGCCTTTATATATCTATACACGCAGGGTATGGCAAGCAACACCTGCTGGAGTGTGGTTGGTAGGGTAATAATATGGGTGTAATAATTTATAGTTTTAATTTGAACATTCCACCTAAAATGTCATATGGTGCGCTTGAGTGTAATAATATTACATTATAGAATTACATGCTTATGATTTTATAATAAAAGATTTTATAATAAAAAGATTTTAGATTTTGCACCACACCCTGTATATTACACCATTTCCCCCATTTTGACTGATGAGTGAGAGCAGTCTTGATCTAATGAGTTGATGTTGTTATTAAGAATTCCTAGAGGTGTAACAGTGACGTCCCCAAGTGAATCATTCTAATGTGTGACAACCTTCATCCTGAGGATATAATTCTTTACATGAAGCTCTTACAATAAAATGTTGTTCAATTTTTCAGTTTTTTCCACTGATGTTATAGTTGATAACTATATCTATATAATTTAAAAAATATGAGTGGGGCTATGAAAACTGAAAAGCACCATATAAATATTGGGCATTACAATCATGATACTGACCTGAAACTCACAATCTGTATCCCTCCTCAACGTTCCACTCAGTTCAAGGACACATAAACACCTATACCAATTGCAAGGTGCCTTAGCCGTTTTAGCTTTTTTAATTTAATTACTTGGGGGCTCTCTCAAAACTCCTCACATTCCCCAAATAAATGTAATGCCTTGTATTTGTATGCCCAGACCTGGGTATAATAAAATAATACGCTCAATTTCTCATTGTAAAATTCCCATTTGGATAGTTCAATTCTATCATAATGGTACAAACTTTTAAAAATAGTTATACATACAAATGCAGAGTAGTACATAGTAACCTGTTATAATGCATTCTTTAGGGGACTCAATACAACCAAAATGTTTAATACTTAAAATGGCTATTTTTAACCCAGTGATTTCCAACTAGGGCTGAGGACCCTGGGAATTGAGAGTCATAACACATATATTGAGGGATATTAAAATCCATGTACTCGTGTGTATTTTCCCAGCCATGCCCTGGATAAAGTTATTGCCTTTCATTTTGAAAGTCATCTATGTAACTGTTACCTCCTGCTAAAATATAATAAGCTCCATAATACCAGAGCCTTTTTTGTCACTATTTAGAAAAAATCTTCAGTGCTTAGTACAGAATCTCAGAACATTTTGTCATATCCTTGCTGCCTTTTGAGGCAGTAAATATCCAACGGGTTTAAGAAATAACCCAGCCAACAACAGTAGGTCTAAGGGTTAAGTTAGGAATTAGAGACAGAATTTTTAGCCTGTGATAGGCACAAGGAGCTCATGAATTGGCATAAGAGAAAGAGAAAGGCTGTTTTTAGGGACTCTGTTTTTACCACGTTATGATGGTAAAATATTTTATAAGTGTGTAGATTTGGCCACGGGGTGACTTGGATTGGAGATAGTAGATTAGCAAATTTCATAGGCACAGCCACAGGAACAACAGATGCATGTGCTCACTCACGGGAGTTAGTCATCTGACTTCGCTCACTTTGTTTTGACTTCACAAGATGAAATTTGCTCTGCCTCTCTCATTGCAACCATTGATTAGCCCTCTGGGTGCTAGCATTAAAATTTAATGATTTGTTAATAGTCTAGTTTCTTTAAGAAAACTCTGATTGTTCTCAAATTATTAACTTAGGGGCCTTTTAGTGACTTAGAGTCCTTAAGAGTTCAAAACCTTCAGCTTGTGATCCCAACGTAGAGAATTGGAGACATTGCTTTAATTTAGAGGCAGTAAAAATCCTGTGTCTAATCTTTTACGTTTGAAAGTGTTTTTCCGAGCTTATTTCAGCAATTTATTATATGATAATATTAATAGGTATTATTTCCTTTTAAAAAAGAGTTCTTTGGTCAGGCATATTTGAAAAACGCTGGTTTAGAGCAAAATTAAATAGATTTTCTATAACCTTCCAATAAAAGAATGGACTCTGCAAGAAGAGGACATGGCATGCAGCATTTACCAGACTTCTTCGACCATAGGGCCTACTTCTCTTAAGTTTGTATTTCAAAACTAATCCCTGATCTCACTTTGAATAGTGCTACCTTGTTATATTTCACAGATAAGAAAATTTCATGTTTTAGGGGTTCTTTTATTACAATAGACTTTCCTGTGAAATCAGGGAATTTTATTATAACAAACCCCCAACAAATCCAAGCCATTAACATGTGGCTAATCTTTATTAAATATATTATACCATAAGAAGGTTTAGTTGGTTCAAAAAAATTAAAAAACAATAAATTCATGTGTCTGTGCTGTTTTGTTGCAATATTACATTGAACCACAAGATGGCACTAACAGTTATTATATTCGGAGATTCAAAGTTAAGGCATCTACTGCACACTTACTCTCCGGCATTTTCTTGTGCTTTATTGTCATTAGCTGGGTCATACCCTCATTAAAACATTTTTTATGGCGATAATGAAATGAAACCCAGGCAAATAAGTACAGGACAGGAAAATAGGAAATGTTAGCCCTTAAATGAAATCTGTTTTGGTATCAATGCCATATTTAAGAGCAATTTTTCAACATTCATTTTATCATACAGCATTAATTTCAGAATTTATTTGTAAACATAATTATTTTATAACTGTTAATTCCATGCTTCAAATTTTTAGGCTATCCATTATTTATTTCTGTACCCTAAGATCAAATTGTGTTTTAAAAAAGAATGAGATGATTTGTATAATGTCTTCTCATGTCGTAAAGGATTACGTATCCCCAATGCTATGTCTTATTTTTTTCAGAGTCAGGACACTGATGAGCACTTCAGCATTTCCTTTAATTTAAGTCCAACAGAACTAAACTTTGAATGGGTCACCTTTTGTGCAGCAATGAACACGGCAAACACAAGATGGCAGCCTCTCTTCCCTTAAAATTGTATTATAGCTATTTAAAATGTATGTAGCCACCTAATACGGAGTCTCTTGGTTTTTATTCTCAATAAATAAGCCTCCTGCTTAAGAAGTTTAAATCAATCTTATTCCAAATGTATTCTGTAATGAAAATAAGTAGCTATGCCTATTTCAGAAACCTGCAATTTTCAATAATGCCAAATCCTAATCAAAAACAATTCAGATTGAAACTCAGCTTCTGTACAAAAGGAGAAGAAGATGAAGAGGGAAGATGTACAGATGTTGATGTAAACACATTGACTCCATCTTTGTAAGCCCCACACTTTCTTTCTTCCCTATTTAACTTTGGCCTCACTGGTCCTAGCCAGCAGACACAGGCCATGGAACACAATGATCATCGTGTTCCGTACGCCTACACAATGTAATCATAAAGATTCATCTCAGTAATGGCGAGGAAGACAAAACAGCCGAGGTAAATAATCATGCTGGTGTTTGCTAAGTAATTATCTACCACAAGACCACCAGGAGGTATGGCTCTGGCTTCTAGGTTTTTTTGCCCCTTTGTCTTGTTAATCATTAGTAGTTCAGCTACACGATAAAATATTTACTGTAACAACTGCCTTTCAGTGGAGAACTGCCAGCGCTGTCTGTCTACTCCCACCCTACATCCCTGAAAGTAAATTACCCTACAGCAAATTCTGTTATATCCTATGGAGTTTCCCACTTCGTTTTTGGTCTTAAGACACCTTTAAGGTTTGATGGGCAGTGTACCTCTACTACACATTCAGACAGAGGAAAGAGAAAGAAGGGAAAAAAAGACAACAAAAGGAAAACGAGAAGTGAACATCAATATTAAGTGTAGCCAGTTAAAAAGAATTCAAATTTAAGCTGGATCTTCCTGAAGGTATCCAATTTTCCTACAAATATCTAAATTTACCTTTATTGTCCAAGTGCAACAAAGAAGGCAACTTTGTGTAATTAGATCCTTCATACTAGAAAGAGGCTTGTAAAATAGTGATGTTCAAAACATACTCAGAGCAACAGATTGTCTTAATATAAATTAATTTTCACTAATGATTTTAAAATCTTCAAAACAGATACCGTATTTATGTGTTAAAATCATTTCCTTAAGCCCTTCCATCCCTTCCTCATTTTTTGTTGGAGATTTTTAAGTCCCAACATTAGAAATATTGCATGGGCTAAATGACTAAATATATTAAAATTCAAAAGCAAGAGATGTATAATCACATGTGGCTTAATGAAATAAAAGTGAACTAACACTTTTTCCATAATGAGAAATATGAATATTCCAGTGAGTTTAAAATTTCTAGTTAATGAAGTTACCATG